CACCCCCCCCCCCCCAAAAAATAGATTGCATTTTTACGTCTCACCAAATGTTTTTTCCCCCTTCTTTTTGTGTTAATGTTTGGTTATGTTTTTCATGTTTTTTGGAATTTTAGGATGATGAGAGTTTGAGAAGATGGAAGGAGCAGCTTCTTGGAAGTGTGGATATCAATGCTGTTGGAGGTAACCATTCTTTTGGTTTCAAGATTTGCTTCATGAATGAACTTTGTGGAATTTCCTATAACTAACATGTGAAATTTGAGATCTTTTCCTTTTCTTGTTTATGATGGGGATGACTATCCATGATGATAACTAACAGGTTGAAATAGCATATTGTATGATATGGGGTTTGTGTAAGTCCAGAAAATAGAAATGTGAACTTTGGGATGCTACCTTCTAGTAATGGTCCTCTTCTTTTCCCTACATTTGCATTTTAACGCATATAAGGCATGATAGAAATATAATTGTTAAAGTTCTCTTGGTTTTATTTCATTTTGGAATATGTTTAGTATGAGAATGAAATGGATCTGAATAGAGCGAAACAAATGCAGATGACCTGAATAGCTGACTTGAAATTTTTGGTACCGGGGGATAGTTGATTGATTTCTTTGCATTTTGGAGTGTCATGTTAAAGAACAAATTATGTGGACTTCATATTTGTCGCATTCCTAATTTGTTCTTCAGGATCAAATTCTTCTCGTGAAATGTCTGTTAGCTTTTAGTTGACTTTAATGTAAGGTAGTGCCTTCAACTATTCCATTGAGGTATCTGAACATACAATTAAGAAAATGAAATGATTTCCTGGATTCTGTTTCGTTGGAACATTTATAGTTTGACTAATCATCTGGTAAATGCTATTGTCTCGGTTTTTGAGTCATAGAAACAAATTAGATAACCACTCTGGTGTGATCTTCAAGTGAGGAGCGTTCTTTTTCATCTTGGATTTTTCCATCTTCACGAATTTCAGTAACGAAGAATAGAATTCCGATACTGGACCACCCTTTTTGAAGCATAGGTATAGATGACTGAATATATACATAGTGTTAATACTGTTTCTTTCTCTTAACTCACTGCTCACAGCACCAAATTTCATTTTTCCGTCATAAGTCCTGATACGACATTCTGGAAGGTGATTTTTAACTGCTTCTTCTGTGTGTCTGTTAATTGTAATATATGGTGTAGTAAAGGTAAAAAATTCACTATATCTATGCACAGTTTAGCTCTTATTAGTACAGTCAAGGTTCTTCAAAAACGACACTGTTTTAAATTTGTAGAATCCCTGGATCCAGACGTGAAGATCTTGAGCCTTGAAATCAAGTCACCTGGTAGACCTGATATTGTTCTCCCAATCCCTGAGGGTGGGAAACCCCAGTGTCCATGGTTTACACTGAAAGAAGGGAGCAAATACAGCCTAAAATTCTCATTTCTAGTCACCAATAATATAGTGACAGGGCTCAAATACACAAACACAGTTTGGAAAACTGGTCTCAAAGGTACTAGCCATGCTTTGCTGTCTCTATCTATGTGAATGTGGCGACATCTATATAAGATGTTTCTGATCAAAATGCTTTTTTTCTTTTCACAAAACCTATTTCAGTTGACAGCACAAAACAAATGATTGGGGCCTTCAGTCCTCAATCAGAGCCTTATACACATGAAATGCCGGAGGATACTACCCCTTCTGGCATGTTTGCAAGAGGATCTTACTCAGCAAGGACAAAGGTGATTATCTTCTGCCTTACATGCTCTGAACATATTCTTCGTCTATTATTTGACTTGACCCTCATACTATATATAGTACACCAGTACTGAAAATCTTCTGCTATTATTGAATTTGGTGAATATTAAGTTCTTCAATACTATGGACTGATCGAGACTGCAGTTGCTTGATAATGTATATGAATTCTAATTGATAAGTGATAACTACATGTAACCTTCCATAAAAAGCGAAATTAGTAACTTGGAAAATAGGACAAGTTACGTACTGCAACACGTTAAGATTTCACTGTGTATAAGTTAAATCCCTAACTTTATCCCATATTGGAGAATCAGTTGTCATTTCCTTTCGTCTTTGTGGATAGGACATAAATTTATTGTTATAGAGGTTGATTCATCTAGTCGAGCCGCAATATGATAATGCCAAAAGACAGATTTATTAGGTTGGTACCATAAGCAACATTAAGATCCAAGCATGCACCTAAAGCCTATATTGCTCGGACTCCCCAAAAATGCTGCCTCATCTATGATCCTCCAAAAATGCACTACTTCAGGATCTGACGCACGCACAATAGCATTTCTTGAAGAGTTCGAGCAGCACAGCCTGAAGTTGAAGGCATTTTTAGATATTTTCTTTCATGTTCTTTTTTTGGGTAACAACCGTAAATACTACCCTTAACCAACAAAAACCAAAACACCTAAAGAGCATCTAAACTTCACAACCATCTTCTAGGTAGGGTGTTATGAAGTATTACGCCTCCGATCCAACAAGCAACTAATTACACAAAGAATCTATGTAACAACATACCACATCTCTGAGATTTCTTTCTTAATACCATGTCCGTATTTACAGTTTATAGCTCTCCAAATATGACAATATCAAGTTAAGCTTGTGCACCTTACAGACATCATTCTAGAGGCTGATCTACGGGTATTCATTTAAAAATTTCCTTTTTATCTTGTTTCAGTTCCTTGATGATGATAACAAGTGCTATTTGGAGATCAACTACACATTTGACATCAAGAAGGAGTGGCTGGCAACATAAACAAAGATGTTGCTTGAATTGTCAAACCAAGACTATTCCTGTTTTCATTCTTCGTAATTTTTGTCCCGTCTTGTCTGATAGTTTTTTGAGAAGAGGAAAAGAAAAAGATAACATTTTGCTGCAGTTGATTATTCAATGATGTGAAGGAGTTAACTTTAGCAGTTAGGTTCTTACTTATTGAGTATCATTGAATAAAGTTGAGCTTTGGCTATGACTGATTAACAATGAGCTCTCTTTCTATCTCTTTCCTTCTCTTCGCATGCATAGGTATCGTCGTTTTCCTAATTGAATGTCCAGTAACTGAGATATCTTGAGAAACCAAAAGATTTTGTTGATCAAATTTTGATCTTTCATGTTATGGTTTTTGCATCCTTGTACTTACCTTCTAACTAAATTGACCATTGTCACCATATTTTTCTATTCTTAGAGAATCATAGTTGGGAGTTATCTGAGTATAGATTATTCCTTTTACTGTGAGGCCAAACATTATATCAAGCTTACTCTTTCATACTTTCATAGTATTATACTGAGTTTCTTGCACTTCGATTATCATATTACTTTGTGGTTTGTCATGCTTTCTTTAACATTTTGTCTTTGACTTCTTCTATTCCATTGTTTTCTTTTTTGTCGATTTGTTTTGTAATGCTTTTACTTGAGAATCTATCGAAATCAACTTTTTTACCTTGTAACGGTAAGACTTGCAAACACTATGTCTTTCTCAGACTTTATTTATACGATTACACTAGTATTTTGTGAATTTAATCTAGGTGTGAGCAAGTTAGTTCAGGCACAACAATAATATTACAGTGAAATTTTACAAGTGACATCTGGGAAAAATAGAGTGTATGCATACCTTATTATAATCTTGTAGCTAGTGACTGTTTTAAAAAAAATTCGACTTAAATGAAGCAAATCAAAATAGTAATGAAAAGAAAAAAAAGTCGTGAGAAATATAACAACTAATAGAAAAGCAAGCAAAGAATGAGAACATTAATAAAATATTGTGATCACCGTAACATAGTAAACAACGGACAATAATAAATAACAAAAGGCAAGGAATTGAACTAAGTGAATGGCCTTTATACCTTTTTATCTACCATTATATCCTCAATCAGTTGAAGTTACATTATATTTTTGATAATTAGCTTGGATATGAAGATTATAAAAAATATATTTATTAAAGCCAAATACAAAAATTCCACCCGTGACCATGAATCCGACCATGGCATGGTACCATGTGAACTTGACTTTAAGAACTTTACATAAACTTAAAAAAATAATCTTATATTCAGTATTCGTATTAAAGTTGAATCGTGTACACTAGAAAGACATATAGGCAAGCCATTCGATCGATTCTTCTCGAGCCTATTTTTATCTTTCGAATTAAGCTTCCAATTTAGTTGTCGCACATTGAAGGATTAACTAACACTAAATAAAAAAGGTTTTTGATCAAAGCTCTCAAATCTATAACTGTCCGACTAATTCAAATTTATATCTTATTTGATGCTTTTAATATAAGAGTTTTCGTTGAATTTACGTATTGCAAATTCGCTTATGTTCGATGCTCTTAACATAAGAGTTTTTCTATATCAAAAAATTTAAATTCGAGACATTTGATTAAACGTATCTCATTAAGAAGGTGCACCCCTATATTAACTTCTCACACGTTAACATTTCCACGCATTAAATTCTCAAAACCCCTCTTTCTCTCACACACAAAAATGGCCCTAAAATTCAACCGCAATCTCGCCGGAACTCTCTTCTCCGCCGTGGTGATCGCTTCCTTCTTCCTCTACGCCTCCGCTGCACTCGGCGGCGGAAAAGGCGGTTTACTCGGTGGTTGGAGCCGTATAACCGACACAAAAGACAGTAAAGTAGTGGAGATCGGGAAATTTGCAGTGGATCAGTACAACGAGGAGTCCAAGTCTGAATACAAATCCAAATTAGTGTTTAAACGAGTGGTGAAAGGAGAAACACAAGTCGTCGCCGGGACAAATTACCGACTGGTCATCTCCGCCACAGACGGCGGTCGTCGTAGCCGTAGCGGCAATAAGTACTTGGCGGAAGTTTGGGATAAGCCATGGGAGAATTTTAGAAATCTTACTTCCTTCAAAAAAATTATAAAAAGTGTTTAATTTTCTGCTGTTTTGGTTGTAAAAAAAGTTGTGTTTATTGTGATTGTTATGTTTCTTATATTACTGTTTGATTAGTGACTTTGTTTACTGTTACTTTATTTGGTTTTCTTTTACTTTTTGTTTGCCGTGAAAGTGATCGAGTTGGTTGAATAGAAGATTTTCAATAGGATTTTAAGTTCAAACCCTCTAAATATTTTTTCGATCCAGCTCATTGCACGAATTTGGAAGATATTATAATAGCAAACGAGTTTAAGTTATATACTATCTTTATGATTAATTGTTTTTCTTAATATTGATTGATCATATTTTACTTATTGTAATATGTAATTCATTTTATCTTTAAATTATAAATTTTCATATTAAAAAGGTTAACTTGTACATATTTTAGAATGATCAAATAGCTTTTTTTTGGGTTTCGATAATGCATATAATTTAAGTTCTTAGGCGAAGGTGGATATAATTGGGTATAATTATTTAGCTGTAGGCTTATAGAAATCTAGTATTTTTATTGCAGAATATAAATTTATATATAAAAAGTTATTAAAATTATAATAAAATATAGGTTTAATGTATAATTCTAAAAATATAAGTTTCGTGTATATATATTGAATTTGGAGAGTTTAAATTTTTTATATTTGCTCCTAATAAGATGTTTTATCTAGCTGAAGTTTTATGCCTTGAACGAGTAAAAGTTATTTACACAATCATGTCATATATAAAATAATTAATTTTTTTTTTTAAGCATAATCAAAAAGGGTTCAATTTCTCGATTAAACATGGAGTTTTAACTCAAAAGATGATTTTTATTTTAATTTTTCAAAAGAATGGATGCACAACTTGTTGAAATAAAGTTGTACTGACTGGATAAGTCTTAAATTTCTTTTTATTTCATTAAATTTTGAGCCATTTATTTGATGCTTGGACTTATCAATCTTCTTTTTACTTTTATTTATATGCATTAAATTCATTAAATGGTGCAAGTAAGTGTCACTATTTGTAATGACTTGAACTCTTTTTCTTTTATTTTCTATCTGAAATAATGAATTTAAATTTGTGCATTTTAGAATTTGTCTATGGATGCAATATTTATAATTGAATCTATTTCATTTAAAGAAATTCGAAAATAAAATTTCTAATTAAAGAGGGATGAATTTCAACCTTTCCACCCTATATAAATATTAAAATCACAATATAGATATCATATATTGAGATTTCAATTTTCTCACTGGAAATAGATATTAAAATTACAGTATAAATATTAAATATTGAGCGGAACAAAATAAATAAATAAATAAAAGAACACATTAAAATTATCTTTTGTTTGCCTCTCCCCTTTTCCTTTAATTATGGATCTATGAATTAGTTAAGAGAATATGACAAAATTAATTTTGTCTTCATTGTGAGGAAAAGGACATTTTGTTGCTTCACGTGAAAGTGTCAATATTATCATATAGGATCCCATGCTACTATTAAATTAATTATTAAGTCATTTAAAATCGATCGTTTTCTATAAAAAAAATTGATGTGAAATTATAGAGTAAGATAAGGTCTTCCTTAAATGTGAATAAAATTGATATTATTGTGATCGTTTTATTCTTAATTGGATATTTGATTTGAATCCATAACGTTTTTCAAAATATAAATTTAAATTTAAATTAATACGTTCAAAATATATGATGATTGTAAAGAAGAAAAGAATAACGTTTCACTCTTTACAATTTTATTAATTTATCGTTTTGCCTTTTGTACACTCCATAAGACAACATTTATAATAGGCTTAATACATAAATATGCCATTTAACTTGGCTTTAATAAATATGTATGTTCTCCAACTTTAGGTGTGCACAAATAGATACTGAAACTTATATAAAATTGAACGAGTAAATACACGCGTTCTACGTGGCATAATACACATATGACAAAAATTGCCATGCAGGACGTCACGTATGACTTGTGTTTACTTGTTTAATTTTATATATTAGCTTAAGTGTCTACTTGTGTATACCCAAAATTGAAGGACATAAATGTCAGTTAAAGAGCACGTTTTATGTATTAAGTCTTAACGATAAGAGTTATTTGGCTAAATTGCCCTCAAATGTGTAAATCTAGTGGTTGAATTAGGAAAAACCATAAGATCTCACTGTTAAATTTCATATGATACAAAAGTATTAGGTGATTTTTCTCCATTTCTTAAAATCTTAGTAAGTAAATTTTTTGAGAGATAACAATAACAATTGATCGACCCTTACCGCATCAGGTATCATCAGCCAAAATTTTCAACACAATCATTTAAATCTCTATTAACTAAAAAAATAAGATAAAGCACATATCACTTCATCATGATTACATAATAAACTCATGTATAAGTTCATGTTTCTTATATTTATTATTTAAAGATAAATATTCGATACAACTAAGTATTTATCACAAATATCTTGCTGAATAATCGAGGTGTGTTCTGGACGTCATAAAAATTACTCATTTGATTAAATTACCCTTATTAATTCTTTTAAGAATATTTTTAGGTTGATTTTTTTTATTTTCTAAAATTCAAATATTTTATATACTACTAATTATATTTAGATATTTATTTATATAGATAAATAAAATAAAGTAGTAGTATCCTAATAATATTATGCAACTATACTTTTACTTGCCACTTACTAAAAAAATGTTAGATACGTGATAATATTTCGGGGTGTGGGGCCCAACCAGATTCAACTGAAAACAGGAATCTGCTGTAGCTTCGGTGCACAGAGAGCTAACGGAGCAGATCGGTGGTTCAACAGTCTCCGGTCGCCGGCGGCATCAGTAGTAGCGGAAGCGGCAGCGGCAGCGGCAGCGATAGCTTTGTCATTACCGGAAAATAGAATCGGCGCCGGAGACACAGGTCGGGTGAAGATGAAGGGTTTATTATTCAAATCAAAGCCGAAAACTCCGGTTGAACTTGTTCGTCAGACTCGTGATCTCCTTATCTATACACAGCGTAATTCTGATATTCGCGAGAGCAAGCGAGAAGAAAAGGTAATGATTTGTTTATTAAAATAGAATTCTCTTGCTGTTTTTTTTTTTTCAATCGTAGTGTTTAGACAT